TTTCTTTGAACAACAAAAGTGTTATGGATGGATGAACATATGAATGAAAATAAATTCAAACGCTTTTGCGATAATTCAATGAATCGTTGTTACGACAAACGAAATTATTATCGATGAATTAATCCTGCTTCTATTTTATCCATTTGTTATTAATCTCGTTCGAATAGATCTAATTAATCTCTCTCTCTCTCTCTCTCTCTCTCTCTTTCTTTTTCATTTTTTTCTTTTTTTTTTTTTTTTTTTTTTTTTATTATATATTGATAACCAATCATAAAATATTTAAATCATCAAAAAATATACTCAATGTAATATTTAATATATGTACGTGATTTGTACATTATAATAAATATAATATTACATTTTCGTAAAATAAATAAATTAAAAAATTTATTATAATTGATTGATGAATATTAATGATATTAATGAATCTCGGTAATATTATTTAATTACATTAATTATAAAAACAAGAATAACAGTAATAATAAAAGAAAAAAAAATATATGTATATAACTTATTTAAAATATTATTTCTATAAAATATTCAATTATTCTCGATTTTATATCGTAACAATATTCGTTATTTTAGTGATTATGAAATAATAAATGGACTACTTCTAATAAATTATAATTTATAAAATTGAATAAATAAAAAATTCATTATTAGCGCAATGTCAATTATACAATATAAAAACTTCATTAGAAAATCATTTTCAGGCATGATATTAATGGAATGTTCGATATTGAATATGATTATTATATTTTATATATTTCATTTACTATACTTAATATTCCGAGACGTGTATAAGAATAATAAGTAACTTTTTGAGATTTTTAATAAAAACTACAGACCCTGCGGATTCTTGACTAATTAACGAATGTTATTACGAAATAAGATCGATAAAACTTGTATATTATTAAAAAATACTGCGATAAATAAATAGATTTTTTATATTTATAAATCTAATAAAAGCAATATATTTGTTCTCGGTGATTACAATAATTCAAATACAATGTGCATCAAATCCTTTTTAATCCGACTGTATAACTTTTATATAAGCAAAAAGAAAAAATAAGTTTCAATAAAAAAAAAAAAAATTTCGAAAATGAGTTCTATACTTTTGTAACAAAAAATATACATTTAAAAAAAAAATATATATTTTGTATGTAAATTTGTATTCGAACATATTATGATTATATAAAACCAATCAATAGATATTTCTCAATTCAATATTATATGACTCACTCTATATATACATATACATATATATATATATATATATATATATATATATATATATATATATATATATATATCTATATATAAAATAAAGAAATAAATAAAGAGAGAAATGAGAAAGGGAGAAAAATAAAAAAACAAAGCAGATCTTTTCATAACTCCTGACAAAGACAGAAAACTCGGTTACATCCTTGGGATAATAAGCAGATCTCTGGCGAATGGTGATGCGCTCTCCTGGAAATCCCGTTGGACTGCTAAGTTCTATTCGGTCTCTCTTTCTTTTTTTCTTTCTTTCTTTATCTCTCTCTCTCTCTCTCTTTCTCTCTCTCTTCCTCTTTATCTTTCTTTTACTCTCTCTTTATTTTTTGTCCGATACTCGAGTCTCCAGGAGAACGAATTCCCGTGAGAAAAGCGGACGAAGTAGCAAAGGATAAGAAGAAGACAAGTGGAAGTCCTAGAGCTGGCGTTGTGAAGAAAAAACAAAAAAAAAAAAAAAAAGAAAAAAGGAAAAAAAGAAAAAGAAGAAAAAATAAAGAAAAATAATCGTTAAGAACTGTTTCCTTGTTACCGACACGTTATCATCGTTTCTTTTTCTTTTTCTTTTTCTTGTTTCTTTTTTTCTTTTTCTTGATTTTTTCCTTTCATCGAGTATTTCGACGTAAGAAAGAACGTGACAAATTCTCGTTGGTTTAGATTTCAGAGGGCTATCAACGTTACACAATACCTAAGACGTAGAGTATCGAAAGAATATGGAAATAATAATCTCCGTATAATGGAACTAAATAACTATGAGGTTTAAAAAGTTTGAGTCTGTGCATAAGTTGAATCGAAGTCGAGGATCTACACGAAGCGGAAAGGGATAATAAGCAAAGAAGGTAAGATCTAGACGATCTTCGAAATCTCAAAGGAACTCGATCTCGAAAGGCTTTCCAGACGACGTTGAATATCTTGCTGGTATCATAGAAAGAACTAAAATGAGAGGGATGAAAATGAAACGAGAATAGTATCCCCAATGATAGAGAGAGAAAGAGAGAGAGAGAGAGAGAGAGAGAGAGAGAGAGAGAGAGGAGAAAGAAAGAGAGAGAGAGAGAACGAGGGAAAATAAAAAGGGAGTATAAAAAAAACGTGAAAGAACAAAAAATAAAAGAATAAGAAAGAAGAGATAGATAGATGAATAAAGAGAGAAAGAGAGAGAGAGAGAGAGAGAGAGAGAGAGACTGAGGAAATAAAAAAAAATATGAAAGAGACAGAAATAGTAAAAAGAGACGGTAAGAGTACTATCAAGGAAAAAATGATAACGACACTACACGGTTAAAAGAAATTTTTTTTAACGAATTTCAGTAATCTTGATACGTGTAACTTTTATCAAAATTTCAGATATTTGTTTATCCTTCGTGAATAAACTTCAGTATGACGCGAATAAGAATAATTTTTGACGAAATAAAAAAATATAATAATCCTTCGAGGTCCAATTAGGAACATTGTTGGTATAACAACTAAAAGTTTGTGTATAACAACTAATTCAACTGTGATCAGAACATTCCATTTTTTTTCTCTTTATTTTTATTTCATTTTTTTTATATTTTTTCTTTTTTTTTCCTTTTTTTTCTTTTTTTTTTTTTTTTTTAATTTTTTAATCGCACGAACAAAAGTAAATTAAATTTATAGAACAATATCGTTACCTTTACGTATTTCATACACATATTTCGTATTTATATTGCTTCATTAAAATATTGAAATGTATATATTTTGTTATATTATATATTATCATTGTTATTGTAAATTATCATTTTATGGAAATCTGTTGAAACGTGACAAATTCAGTGACCAGTCAATAATATGTATTTTCAAGTCGATTAATATATATAAACTCATAAACGTACTGAACTGGAAATTTGTTTTTCTCATCGTTTACTCATTAACATCATCTTGAATTTATTATTAAGATAATGTCAAGACTAAAGTGCAAGGAAATGGAAATTATTGAATTTTTGAAGATTATATAACTGTGGAAATATAATAAATATGTGTATATACATATGTATGTATATATCAAATCAATTATGTCTGGTTATTTGAAGATTATTGTTATTAATATAAAATGATTTCTGAATGATCTATCTTATGATTCTCAATATATCATAAATTAATTATATAAATATAATATCAATTATTAATTATTCATTACTTGATTCTACGTTATTATTTTAATATCGTGATCTATTAAATATTATTTATAAATTCTATGGTATACGACGGATGAAATAAGTGAATGAATAAATGTGACAAAAATCGAAAGAATTATTTTGTAGAAAAGAAAAAAAAAAAAGAAAAAAGAAAAAGAAAAAGGAAAAAACTATTCCTTTAAAACGATAAGCATTTTAATATTATTTATCTCTTGAAGTGTCAATTTGAAATAAATCGAATTATTAGACAAGCTTCTTTATCGCTTATCTTGGAAAACTTTAGAATAATTTACTATAAGCTATTATAGCGATTAATCGCATTGAACTTTTTAAAGACTTTTCTTTTTTCTTTTTTCTAATTATGAATTTGTTATACGTTATTACTTATACGATCCTTGCTTGTCTATCGATATTATCATATTTATATTTAATAAGTATGTTATATGAGCTGTTATTCAATGATGCAAAAAATAAGAAAACACAAAATAAATTGTTCAATCATTGGACTATCTTTCATTTTATTTTGAATTTCGTGTGATTGAATAACTGCAGTCATTATACATTTATAAATAAATAAAAATAGCTTTATTATTTTTTTTTTTTTAATGCTTTAACATAACACTTACGTTTTATTGTTAACGAATATAAAATTATATTTGATTTGAAATAAATGAATTGTCAAATGTACAAAAATATTACAGTAAAGTTAATACACGTGTAGATATAAAACTAATAATATTTTTATTTTCCAATATAGAACTTATTTATGTAACTATTACATACATATTGATTCGTCCGAATTTAAAAGATTTTCTTTCTTCGTTAGAATAATTCGATCAATAATTAAATAATGAAAATTGCTATTTTTGATTATATCGAATAGATTTGTTATCGCCAATCAGTTTTATTTAATCTCTTACCTTAGAATTTTTACAATAATAATCAATTTAATATTTATATGGACGTAAAATTATTTAAACAATGTAAAAAATACTTTTCCTCGTGTTTTCAATTTGGCAAAATTATTTTTACGGAACGTATTTCATAAATTATTATTGAGGTGAAAATTTAATCGCATCGTTTTATTATTTTGTTCACATTTATCGATATAATAATTAAAAATAATTAGTTTTGTTGATTATATCATACTATATTAAATTCGAGATTTCTCATTCCTTCCAATAATTAGATAATAACTGATCAATACATCTATATATATATATATCAGTACACATATATATATATATATCAGTACACACATATATATATATATATATCAGTACATATATATATATATATATATATATATATATATATATATTCTGCGATTTATCTTTACATTATTAAATCACGAGAATAATTTTCTTCTTTTATAAGCCATATTGCCTTATTAGATTACTCGATAATAATTCCCAAGGGAAAAATTCAAAAATAGGATATAACCAGACAACATATTTTTCTTGAATTATATTCATAAAAGTTCAATAAGCAAACCGTTTATCTTGGTATCTAATTTATCGTAAATAAAAATGAAATAGGTTAACGTTATATTATTTTGCAAAAGAATATACGACTTACGCGAGAAAGTGCCACCGCTGGAAAGCTGTCCCATGCGAGTTGAGCTTCCTCCCCTGTATTTCCATGACGTTGACCCGAGAGTATTCTCGCAGCAGTAAGCGTGCTCATGCTCATGCCGTCACCAACGAAAAGGACGACCCCGCGTGCTACGGTACTCGATGGTATGCTTCCACCTCCTTCTCCTCCACCTCCACCTCCACCACCACCACCACCACCACCACCTCCTCCTCCTCCTCCTCCTGTTCCTGCTCCGTTTGAGCTTGTAGCCGCACGGATTCGTGCCTCGATCGCACGTCTAGCGCCTTCATACCAGACTTCCCTCTCTGTTGAACAGACAGAAACCTCTTTCATCTTTCCCACCACCACGCTTGAATCCCTTCGAGCAAAAAGACTTCATCGATTCTTATGGATCGCTACGAATTTGTCGACTTTTTTTCCAACTTATGCGGCAATGATCGAATTTAGTCATAGGAGAGATAATGATTTTTATTATAATTTGTCGATAGTAGAGAGGGAAGGAGAAGAGATGGGATTAAGGCTGTGGCCCCAATTATATTAAATAATATTTAATCAAGGATGAAAATAACATTCGAATTTGATGAATAATTTCAATGTCATTTCAATTTTAAAGATAAAGATATTATCGTATGAATATTCATGGGAAAATAATATTTGAAATTTTTTCTTCGAAGATCTTTCTTTCGGGAAATCTTAAATTTAATCGTAACGCTTTGAAACTGACAATGAGATTGGAAAATTATAATTTGAAAAGATAAGGTGTTATTAATACATGGATTATTTTATCGATCATGTATCTGTAAGAATGAATTAGAACTCTCTTAATCGTCCCTTTTATTTTCTTATAGAAAAAAAAATTGATTGGTTCGTTTTAACGATTAGATTTATATTTTCTTTTCCTATTTTTTTTTTTTGTTCTTTTCCTTTAACGAAAGTAATAAGAAACAAGGCTCAATTGTTAGAACGAATTAATAGACATCAAAATGTATATCTATCGAAACTCCAAATTCTAAACACCGTATTACGGATTTGGGAAGTTTATGGGGTAACCGAGAATCTGAAATGATTCGGATTGCCTTGGCAATTTTGCTTAACGTTCAATTCTAACATCGCCGGAAGCATGTATAGGACTGCTGGACGACTGTTTCCTCTCAACTGTACCGGTTAAAAGCCCAGCTATTACACTTTACCTAGTGCACCATACTCGCCCTAGTAGCCGCTAATGGACAAGTTTAAGTACCACACGCTATCTATAACTTCCCATTGATCCTAAGTTGTCAAATAAATTCTATTTCTAATGTCGTTATGTTGCTAGTAGGTATATACGGAAAATATTGCGAAATCCGTAAATTGTTCTTTAAATCGTCTTATCATTAATTTTAGAAAATGTATTAACAATGTGACACATATCGACATCGAATTTATACGATTTATAAATATATATATATATGTGTCTCTGTGTGTGTGTTTGAATGTGTATGAACATTTAATTCATAGATTAAATTGCGTGTTTAATGTTAAAATATTATGAGACTTAAAAAATTAATAGAAATTAATATAAGTATTTCTTATTTTTAATCACTATGATATATTGAATATTTCTATTTGTCTTCTGTTGTTGTTTTGAGTTAATGTTACCACATCTGTTAGTGTATGTGTGTATATATATATATGTATATGTATATGTATATACATATACATGCATATATGCGTAATGACAACAATAAGGATTCACTAGGACTGTTATGAAATTTAATGATTTTTTTCGAAAAAAAACGCCGAGATAAATCAATTTTGTTCTCGAGGAGGACTCGATACTTATCATAAATTCACCTATTTTGATCTAATTTTTTAAGAGGGCTAACAACCCTCTCAAAAATCTTAAATGACAATAGAAATCAAGTGGCATATCATTTGAAAGGTTTTTTTCATTCTGTTTACAGTGATGCCATTTTTGTTTTTTTTTTTGTTTTTTTTTTCTTTTTTGGAGCTAACAATATCCGAGAATATGAATTTATAAATTTCTAGTTGAAAACAACTATTCAAAATGCGTATTGTCATTCTCCATACAATAATATAATCTTTTCTATGTGTCGAACATTCAGTAGTACATCCGGTTTATTTCGATAAACCGATGGTCCGTTATCTTGGATAACAAAATTGTTGGTCCACTCTTTTTACCATATAATTTGATCGGAGAGTTTTATTGAGATTTATTTGAAAGCTACATTTACCTCCACCCCTTATCCCCCTTCCCCCAAATGATCGTAATAAAAATCATTGAAAATAGTTTGAATATGCCGAAAGTGATGATTTTTTTTCAACACGACAGAACTTCCTCACAATTGCAATTCCAATATAACAATTCTTAAACCAGCATTTTTCCGATCATTGTGATCGTTCCGGCCTTGAATTTTCTTTTCTATGGGAATGTTTAAAATCCGGAATATATTCCGTCCAACCGGCTTGAATAGAAGAACTTCGGCAACGTATAGTCGAAGAATACACTGTCAAATTACACCGGATGTTCTAATACAACTGTCCGACGTAACACTCGGGATAGACTCTATTATTACCGTATAGAGCTCGGCGATACATATTTTTAACGTTTAATAAAATAAAAAATTGTTTTTCAATCTGAAACGTCGAAACGCATTTTCTTAGAAATTGTTGACTCCAAATTGGAAAAAAGAGAAAAGAAAAGAAAAGAAAAGAAATAGCATAATTCTATAGAGAATTAAAAGATTCTTTTCAAATGATACAACACTTTTATCCCATGTTATCCATTTAAGATTTTCGAGAGGGTTCTCCATCCCCTTATGAGAGTTAGCCAAAGATGGATAAATTTTCTAAGTAGCTCTCTTAATTAAACATCATAATATCCTAAATGAATTTTTCATTACCATTAATATCGACTTCTGATACATTCAAAATACAATGCAATAACAAAACGAATAGAAAAACAAGATCGTTTTCAATTATTTCTTTTAAGAAGTAAACAATTTCTAATCGATTGAATATAAAATCACAATACGAAATTATAATTCGTGTAAATAAAAACAATTTACATTAAACGAAATCCATCATTTAAACTACTAATTGCATCGATTTCATTTATTTCATCAATATTTTTATTTATTAGCACGAAATATTTTATAAAATGTATGATCAGTACATATGAATATATCGATTAATATGAATAATAAAGTATCAATATTGCATCAGGATTACATCACTTATATTACGTATTAATTTTATATTGTAAATACTGATTAAACGGTTAAAAATATTTTATCGAATAAATGACATCTCTGGTACATTTCGATCGATATTTTAAAAAAAAAAAAAAAAAAAAAAGAAACACCAATGTCCACGACAAATAGTTGGAACCTTTAGTCGGTTGTGAGTCAATGACGTTTGGTAAAGTTTAAAAGATCTCGATGTTTGCGTAAGAACGAAAGAGAGAGAGATATAGATGAATAGATAGATAGATAGAGAGAGAGAGAGAGAGAGAAAGAGAGAGAGAGAGAGAGAAAGAAAGAAAGAAAGACAAATAGTAATGTCAAACATGTTTGCGTTAGCCCTTGAAGGATGCTGCGAAAATAACGATTCATCCATCTATGCCAGCCAACAACGCTATTGTTTGTAAAAATGAAAAGAGAATCTGGCGTTGAAATAGACATTGTCTGATGATAACAATAATAATAAAAAAAAATAAATAAATAAATAAATAAATAAAAAAAAAAAAAAAAAGAAAAAAAAATAAAAAAGAAATAACAATCCTGTCATACGCTATGTAAAATCAAATATCGCAATTTCGACGAATAATTCGCATAAGTTTACACTGATATTATCGTTCGGTACGTTCGTTTGAAAATTTCACCACATATTAATGGCAAATATTGATATAACTGTTAAAACACGATAGTAAATTCCGAATAATTCTCGGTCATAAGTAAATAAGAGTAAATAATTGCTTTCTATAATGATCAAAGCTCTTCGAATCCAGTAATGATAGTGAACTAATTGGAAGAAACCGTTCTATCCATTTGAATTTTTAAACGAGCTAAAACGGAAATTACATTCTCGAAGAAACGAGATATTAAAGGTAGTTCTTTCCGATCGAACGAATGAAATCTCTTTTGAAGGCTTCTATATGGAAAATAAGATTCGAAGTGGTTCAAGAATCGCTTCGGCGCAACTGTAATTCATGCAAAATTCAAACCTTCCTCCTGGCTCTATTCTCGTTCTTTTTAAGACCGTAGGAGGAACGATTCGCGATTCTACAGATTTCTTTTTGCTTCCGCCGTTAACTCGCTTCTACTGTTGGTAGAAATTTAAAATGTAGCAGGATTTTTTCTAAGAGCGAGAGAAAAAAAAAAAAAAAAAAGAAAGAAAAAAACAGACAGTGCTTTTTCTTCTAAAAACAACTTTGTTAACTTCGAAGATCGATCCGTACCAATCTTCGATTCTAATGAACTTTCTCGTATAAAAACTATAACGGCTTGTTAAAAGATTCATGTAAAAGATGTTTAAACAATTTCATTGGTTATTCACGTGAAATTTTTCGTTATTAGATTCACGTGAAATTTTTCGACGAACGAACGTTGATTCAGTCGAAATAAATCTCCTCTCTTTTACGTTTAATAGCGTTAAATACATCGGTTTAATGAACGTGAAATATTAATAACTTACAATCAGCTTATTTCTAATAAGAGCAATTCAAGATGAAAGAAGATGGAGAGGAAGACCGAACCACACTGAAAAATACCCGAGGGAGAACTTCGAATAACTTTTGAAAGTACAATACTTATTCTACTTATTCTAAGAAAGAAAGAAAAAAAGAAAGAAAGAAAAAGAACTATATAACTTACCTTAGAGATCAAATAAAAGATTTTAATAAGAAAATCCCTATTGGACAGACCTTTCGAATTACTTAACCAATACAAAAATGATACGACGTATATTATACGTATTTATATATTTTGATTAGCATTTCGATGAAAAAGAAATAAAACAAAAAAAAATATATAAATAAATAAATAAAAAAAAAAAAGATGTCATGAAATTAAATAAATGTACGAATGAAAGATAAGAAGTAATAAATTCTGTTCATATCGTAAGAACCGATCGTCGAATCTGCAAACTTTGATTGCTATCGAATTTTCGCTTTGTTCTGGTCTTATTGAATAGATTCGAAAGATTTAAAAAATATTCAAAAGATTTTAATCCCAGGAGATATTCTCGCTTTCGGCATTCATCCAAGGCGTTTGTTCGTCAGATTAAGGTTGCCCGAATCCGCTTT